ATCACGGATAACAAGTTAGACAGATGTGGAGCATTTATAGAAAATCCCACACAAATCTGTTTGCATTGAACAACGACATTCCAGCATCCTCAATCTGTGCCATCAAGCACCAAATCCCTTCAGTACTTATTAGCGAGGAGCGCTTTAGCGCCACATAGCAAAAACGCACAAAAAACAAAATTATTAGCACTAAGAGGCATTTGGGAGTCATGTCACTTCCTTGTCGCGACCGAATCTTCACGTACAGTGAGACAATAAGAAATACTCAAAATCAAAACCGGTAACGACTTACTTTTATTGCACGTCCAACGTTCTGCTTGCTTTCGTGTGTTTTCAGGTTCTGAGGTAGCTTCACGCGAACTGAGCTAATCTCAGATACGCAACTGATCGCAACTGATACTGCCTGAAACCTCACCTCACAATCAGGCGAAAAGCAATTTGTAGAGGAAACAGGCCAAATGTTTCTGGGTAAAACTGAGAACAAAACGCAAAAATAAAGCAAAAAACAACTAACTTCAAGAACACCTTTCTCATCTGAATTAGGCGGTCGCAGCTGCGTAATGTCCAGCAAATTTTTAACACTTTCAGATGAGAGCAACATCAAAACATCCAGTACGTACAACACGTCTACACCGAGAGGATCGACCGGGTTAGACTTTTTGTGGAAGTTCAGTAAAGCTGCCCAGCCGAAGTCCCTGTCGCTCGACACAATCTACAATTCATGATTATAGCTACACAGCGGAACTCGAAATACGTATTCCTCTGGCTATTTTAAGAACGTATCCTCCTTCAGCTTCGTGAAAACGCATATCACGTTTCAGCTTCCTGGTGTGACCCTTGATATCTCTGTATCCACAATCTAGCATTCATGGAACTTGCTACCAACGGACTCCTGGCACACCTCCAACATGTAACGACCACTGTCGAGCAGCGTTAAAAAAACCCCGTAATAGTCCTGTTGAAAGATCGCATAACTAACGCTATTCATGCGAAGGTCCCAAAGATGAAAGCAGGGGGACACAGCACCAGCTGATGCAGATTCGATCCTACCAGAAGATTTTTAGTACTTTAAAAGTTCGCAAAAGTGCGCCGAAATGGGGTGACAAATAACGTAAAGAAATACCAAAGCAGATTCTTTGCTTTGCGGTAAGCTGCTTGGTAATACGGAAAAAATGAGAAGAAACTGACATGGAGCAAACGTCCGGCTTGCAAAAAAGGCAAAAGATGTTCGGGTTTTGTGGTCGCACTTCTCACAGCCTTTTTCACCTTGTTCATTTGTTCTTCCGTTTGATAATATTCGGCAAGTTCTGCTTCGTCATCAATTTTGTAAGCAGCAAGCTCTTTTTTCTTGTCATCTATGTCTGCAAAAACGAAGAAGAAAGCTGCCGAAGATTCGTTGGTGAACGAAGAACATGAAACAAAAAAGTTCATATTAAAACAAACTTTGGTAAAGCTGCGGTAATGCGTCATAGTTTTGAAACTGAGCGAATGAATTCTCCAACATAAATTCTGGTTTGGTACTATCCAGTCGAAGTGAATTCAGAACCATATTATAAGTCAAACGGAACTGTGAACTGAGCGGATCCGGTGCACCTTCAAAAAGCTTCTGCATGCGAAATGCATTTGAAAAAACTTCATTACATGCTCGGCGCCGCAAGTATGTGTGCGTAACTGACACGAAGAATAACCTTTAAAAATTTTCATTGCTACATCCTGTCCCATCTGCTGATCAACCATAAGTATCACAAGGCCACGATCATCTTTATCTCG